GTCAAACATTTCCTTGTCCTTACTCTTCAGATAAAGCAGAACGCATATAGGTCACAAGCTATATGCGTGAACTCTAGCTATACTGAGTTGAATGTAGCGTGATATTTTTCATCACAACGGTGAATTCTTATCTACGTGAGGCGCTGTTAAACGCCTCACCGTCTAGCAAATTTTCGCTCCATCGAATAGTTGCTTGGACGTTGTTTAGCGGCAACGTTACTTCTATTAGCGTTAGCATTAGCTTAGCAGCTAACCTGGTGATGTCTTCCCTCCCTGCCTCTCCTGCTCTTTCTTGCTCGGTGTGTCACATGTTTAGCTATTCCTCTGCCTCCCTTACCGATAACGGTACATGTAAGAAGTGTAGTATATTTGATAAATTGGAGGCGAGGCTTAGTGAGCTAGAATCACGGCTCCGCACCATGGAAGCTCAGTCGTTAGCCGCTGTAGTTACCCCGCCCACCCCCGTAGCCGGTGCGGGCCACATAGACGTAGCGTTCGCTCCTGCTAGCCGTCCCCCGGCAACCCCCGAGCAGCCGGGAGGCTGGGTGACTGTCCGGAGTAAGCATAAGTCTAAGTCGAAGCACACGGTTAACCACCAACCACTTCACGTTTCAAACCGCTTCTCCCCACTCAGCGACACACCCGCTGAGAAGCCAACTCTGGTGATAGGTAGCTCCATTCTGAGGAACGTGAAGTTAGCGAAACCAGGGACCATAGTTACGTGTATACCGGGGGCCAGAGCGGGCGACATTGAGTCTTATCTTAAACTGCTGGCTAAGGATAAACGTAAATACAGTAAGATTGTAATACATGTCGGCGGTAATGACTCCCGATTACGTTGCTCGGAGGTCACTAAAGTTAATGTGGAATCGGTGTGTACATACGCTAAAACAATGTCGGACACCGTAGTTTTCTCTGGCCCCCTCCCAAACTTGACAAGTGACGACATGTATAGCCGCATGTCGTCATTCCGCCGCTGGTTGTCGAGGTGGTGCCCAGTAAATAATGTGGGCTTCGTTGATCACTGGAAGACGTTTTGGGGAGAGCCTGGTCTGATTAGGAGGGACGGCATCCATCCCACTTTGGACGGAGCTGAACTTCTTTCTAAGAACCTGACCCAGTTTCTTAGTGGACTTAATCCATGACCCAGAGTTCAGACCAGGGAGCAGAGTCGCAGTCTTACACACTTCTCTGCGCTTCAATCTGAGCAGTCACTCAGCATAATGAACCCTATAGAGACCTTGTCTGCCCCACGGACACACTTATCTAAGTTAAAGGTAAACAACCGAGGAGTTGTAGTAAATAACTTAATTAAAGTTAAAACTAATAATGCAATAGTGCAACAAAATAGGAGAATTAAAGGGGGTCTTTTGAATATCAGATCTCTGTCATCTAAAGCTGTTTTGGTAAATGAACTAATATCAGATCACCATGTTGATGTATTTTGTCTTACTGAAACGTGGTTGTTGAATGGGGAATATTTCTGTTTAAATGAAGCGACTCCTCCGAGTCATGTTAATACTCATATTCCCCGAGGCACAGGCCGAGGGGGGGGAGTGGCAGCTATTTATGACTCCTGCCTTTTAATAAACTTTAAACCTAAGGTGGATTGTAACTCATTTGAAAGCCTGGTTTTCAGTCTTTCGCAACCGACCTGGAAAATAATCCAGCCGGTTCTCTTTGTAATAGTGTACAGGGCCCCAGGTCCTTATTCAGAATTTCTTTCTGAATTTTCACAGTTCTTAACGAGTTTGGTCCTTAAAACGGACAAGGTAATTATTGTGGGTGACTTTAACATTCATGTGGATGTCGACAACGACAGCCTTAGTACTGCATTTCTTTCATTGTTAGATTCAATTGGTTTCTGTCAGTGTGTAAATAAACCAACTCACTGTTTTAACCACACTCTCGACTTGGTTCTTGTGTATGGGATTGAGATTGAACATTTAACAATTTTTCCACAGAACCCTCTCCTGTCGGACCATTGTCTGATAACCTTTGAATTTCTACTATCAGAACCACCTCCTCCTGCCAAAGGTTTCTACAGTCGACGCTTATCGGATACCGCTGTAGCCTTATTTAAAGAAGCCATTCCTTCTGCTCTAAGTTCAGTGCCCTGCCTCAAGATACAAGAAGACTCCTGTGAAAACCTCAGTCCGTCTCAGATCGATAATTTTGTCGATACTGCTACAGGCTCTTTGAGAGTGGCGCTGGACGCTATTGCTCCTCTGGAAAGAAGAATAGCAACAAGAAGGAAGTCTGCTCCGTGGTATAACCCTCAAACACGGAACCTAAAGCAAACTGTGCGGAAGCTTGAACGTTTATGGCGTTCCACCAAATCAGAAGGATCTAGGCTAGTTTGGCAAGACAGCCTTAAAACGTATAAGAAGGCTCTCCGTAACGCAAGAGCATCTTATTACTCATCATTAATAGAGAAAAATAAAAACAACTCCAGGTTTCTCTTCAGCACTGTAGCCCGACTGACAGAGAGTCACAGCTCTGTCGAGCCGTGTATTCCTTTGGACCTCACTAGTAACGACTTCATGAACTTCTTCAATGATAAGATTCTGACTATCAAAGAGAAAATTGATGGTCTCCTGCCTTCAACCAGTGCCGACCTGTCCTCCTTGGATGCAGTAGTGGGCCCTGATGCCTGTTTGGATGCCTTCTCTTCCATCAACCTTGATCAACTGACTTCTTTATTTTCAAAGTCTAAATCTTCTACTTGTCTCTTGGATCCGATTCCGACCAAACTGCTTAAGGAAGTTTTTCCTTTAGTTAGCACATCCTTATTAGATATTATGAATCTGTCTTTGTTAACAGGACATGTACCACAGTCCTTCAAGGTAGCTGTAATTAAACCTCTTCTTAAGAAACCTACTCTTGCTCCAGAGGTGTTGGCTAACTACAGACCTATCTCTAATCTTCCCTTCCTCTCTAAGATCCTTGAGAAATCCGTCGCAAATCAATTATGTGACTTTCTACAAAACAATGCTTTGTTCGAGGATTTCCAGTCAGGATTCCGAGTGCATCACAGTACAGAAACCGCACTGGTGAAAATTACGAATGATCTTCTACTTGCATCGGACCAAGGACTCATCTCTTTTCTTGTCTTGCTGGACCTTAGTGCCGCATTTGATACCATAGACCATTGTATCCTGTTGCAGAGACTAGAACATTTAATTGGTATCAAAGGAACTGCACTCAGCTGGTTTAAATCCTACCTATCGGACCGATCCCAGTTTGTGCTTGTAAACGGTGAATCCTCAAAGACCACCAATGTTGGTCACGGAGTCCCACAAGGTTCTGTACTTGGACCGATTTTATTTACCCTCTATATGCTTCCTTTGGGCGATCTTATCAGGAAACACCGCATAAACTTCCATTGTTATGCAGACGATACTCAACTGTATCTGTCGATCAAGCCAGAAGAGACGGACCAGTTAGTTAGACTCCAAGAATGTCTTGGAGACATCAAAACTTGGATGACCGGCAACTTCCTGATGCTAAACTCAGAAAAAACGGAAGTTATCCTGATAGGCCCAGAGCGCCTTCGAAGCCAGCTGTCGCGTGATACAGTTTTTATGGATGGAATTGCTCTGGTACCCAGCAGCACCGTCAGGAATCTGGGAGTTCTCTTCGACCAGGATATGACCTTCAACTCGCATATAAAGAAGACTTCAAGGACTGCCTATTTCCATCTACGTAACATATCAAAAATCAGGAACTTCCTGTCTCAAAGTGATGCAGAAAAATTAGTTCATGCGTTTGTCACTTCCAGACTGGACTACTGTAATTCTTTGTTATCAGGCTGCTCTTATAAATCTCTTAAGCCTCTCCAGCTGATTCAGAATGCTGCAGCACGTGTATTAACAAGAACTAAGAAAAGGGATCATATCACTCCTGTATTAACTTCTCTGCACTGGCTTCCTGTTAAATCAAGAATAGATTTTAAGGTACTTCTCCTCACCTACAAGGCACTTGCTGGTGAGGCACCGTTGTATCTTCAAGAGCTTGTAACACCGTATTGCCCTACAAGGCAACTGCGCTCCATAGATGCTGGGTTACTTGTTGTTCCTATGGTTTTAAAAAGTAGGCTGGGGGCCAGAGCCTTCAGTTATCAAGCTCCTCTTTTGTGGAACCAGGTTCCACTTTCAGTCCGGGGGGCAGATTCGGTCAGCTCTTTTAAAGTAAAACTTAAAACGTTCCTCTTTGATTCTGCCTATAGTTAGGGCTGGCTCAGGTTAGTCCGGACCAGCCCCTAGTTAAGCTGCTATAGGCTTAGAATGCCGGGGGACTTCTTAGGACACACCGAGCTCCTCTCTCACGCTCTCTTTCTACCATAATTCAAGTTTTATTAATGCACATGACTAATTCAGCTTCTTTCCGGGAGTTTTTTTGTGCTTTCGCCCCTACCAGGTCTCCATAGATCGTGGTTCCTTCGGGACCCTGGTCCTGACACCTACCGTGGCCATGCTGACGCCTGCTGCTGCCATCATCATCATCATCATCATCATTATTTTAGATATTGATCATATTACTTTACTCATAAACCGCCATTACCCTCTCCTAAAATCTCTGTGCTCTCCCTCCCCACAGGATTCTGTGGATGGTGGTTCTATCTGATGGTGGTTGCCTCTGCAGTGGTCCTGCTGTGCGCCTGGCTTACTACTCACAATTACTTGAATCATTTCTGTCATAGGAATTGCATGTATTATACATTGTTCATTCTGTACACATGGCATCCATTGTAGTCTGTCCATCCCGGGAGTGGGATCCCTCCTCTGACGTTCTCCCTAAGGTTTCTTCCCTTTTTTTCCCTCTTGTAAGGGTTTTTTTCATTTTTTGGGGAGTTTTTCCTGTGCCGATGGTGGGTTTCGGGGCAGAGGATGTCGTATGTGTACAGACTGTAAAGCCCTCTGAGGCAAATTTGTAATTTGCGATTCTGGGCTATACAAAATAAAATGACTTGACTTGACTTGACAAGCAAACTAACTCACAGCTGACCAGTTTGCAATCCTTCCCGTCTGTAGTTCTGCCAGAAGGGTTGATGTAGAGCAATTGAGGCCGCTGCGTGGGTGGATGCTGCTGTGTAAACCTGGGACATGCAGGCCCCGGCAGGCAGCACTAAAGGGAGAAACCCAGATTAAACCTTAACTGTTTTATCAGTTCAGTCCAAGGGTTCAGAGGCTGCCCCTAGCTGGGAACTGATTGGTTGAGAAAAAAGCATTTGTCTGATAAAACTTTTTTTGATCTTATGGCAGGCGGTAGTTCACCGCAGTGGACTTTTTAACACGTTTACCACCAACAAGATTGTTTTCAATTTGACTATTGCTCGCCATGGATTTACAGTTTACTTAAGATCCAACTTACCGAGACCTATAGTTTACTTCCACACTTTGTTATTGCTGGAAACCCTCGAAGTAGTGATTTAGATCAGAAACAGTCCTTCACATTTAAACAATGCTGCATCCTCTCAGAAACCCCCCGTAACTAATGCATTTAAACAATCTGGCCTTCATTGACCATTTATACATGCACAACATTCCAGAACATTTTGGTATTTCAGACATGACAATAAATAGGTGGGACAAGGGACAGTCCAGTAGATGGTCTTAATGGAAAATGCTCAACAGAATTAGGAGAAAATGGGGCAATGCTAGACGTATTTTTGGGGACATGGCAGGCCACACATTTTAAAACGTAAATTAAAGCTGCAAGCAGCATTGGTCTGGCCCTTGTACATGTATGTATGTTGAGAGTACTTGCCACTTCAATGCATTCCTGTGACCATCAGAAATTGCTTTCACAAGTTTAAACAGCATTTCCTGTGGACCAGCAGAGTAGCAAGGTCATTTAGTCAGGTCTTAAACCTTGAATTGTTTGAGTATCTCAGAATACAATCATAAATGTAAGCCAGTATTATATTGTTAAATTTGAAGAAAACAATTTGCCTTGGCAATAAAAAAACGTTTTATTTAATATTGTCAATCGTGGTTTTGTGCTTTAAAAAAAAAAAAAGGTTTTCCATCCCTAACCACAGCACATCCACGCCATTTAATGACACTGCCAGCTTTGGATAACTTTTAATCAATAAGGTCTCTAGATTGTATTGAACTAATTTGATTCCAACAATTCCCTATGAGGATTTTGTTAAAGTAAATTCAGATAGAATTGTGTTGTTTTTAGAGCATGGCCTGTCTAAAGTCTAAATTGAATATGCTCCTACCTAATTTGGTGATTGTCGGTCAAAACTAGTGCATCACTAGTGCGTCCTTCAGAAAAATGTAGTAGGGGGGCGCTATCAAGACGTCTTGCCACTCGGAAACTTTAAGATCACACAAGATAACAATAGAACTTTAAATGTGTTTTGGTTCGGTTTCAAATGTTTGGTTCGGTTTCAATCATTTGATGCCTTTGACAACCACCCCCCCCCCCCAAAAAAAACCATACACATAGGTCTGTAGATTGCACTGACTATAGTTGTTACTCCCCAGGAGGAGTTTGTACCTGGAAAATGAACGTACATTTTATATAAAACTCAAAACGGCCGACTTCTTGTTAGACTTAAACCCAAATTACCTATGATACCGGTGCCTACCTAATTTTATACATCTAGGTCAAACGCAGGTGATAACTGCTTTGTCAACATTTGTAGTGGGCTCTATTGAGCTGAATTGCAGCTCTGAAGTATTCAAATCATATCAGATAACTGTAATTTGGGCTTTGACTGTGCGTGCTAAGTTTGATTATTTTGAACCCTTTACCTTTACAACCTTTGTTGCTCATGGCAAAGAGTGCGTCACAATAGCAAGCTGTTGTACAAAACATTATCAACTTAGTGGGCTGGCATCATGAGCTTCTTATGTTTGTATTGAACTAATTTGATTCACCTACTAAGAGAATAAAGCCAAACTAGAGACATTAAATTTCATGCAGCCAGCTGTAACCCAGTAATAGGGCTAATCAAAAGGGGCCGTTAGCGAGGCAATTATTCATTCCACAACTAAACAAACCCAATTAAAATCAAAAAAAAATCCTAGCATGTCAAATTTCACAAACTTGCTGGAATCCTGAGCTCCTTTTCGCAAAAGAAAGACAAAGAATAAGGGCTGTCAAAATGAATGCGTTAATCTATGCCATCAATGTGGCCAAGATTTATGCGATAAAATATTTTAAGGCTGTTAACGCAACTTTGTTTACTGCCAGAAGTAAACAAAGTTTACCCCGGAAACGAAACCGCCATTAGCTGCAGTCAGTTGGATCAGAGAGACTGAGGCAGTAGCTAAAGATGGGGAGAACTTTTTGCATTGGAAGTTAAACAAACCGAAACAAACCACTTCATGCACTGCTAGGCTACGCTAGCTGCTAGGCTACGTCCATCTCACCATCTACCCTGCGCGGCACACAGTCTGCAGAGGACCACCACTGTGTCCCTAAAGGACTAAGGTTTGAAAACGTCCTGGCTAAATGTCGGAGATTGTTGGCACTTCAAACACAGCCGTCAAATGATGGAGAGTTGAGAGCACAACAAACTGGACAGCAAGAGTTGCTAGTTCGACATGTTTCACCCGGTGGGATTCTGCCTCCAAGATGATCAAATGTGTGTGGTTTGTGTTTAAAATACACGCGTTCTATAGTGATTACTCATTCCTCGTAAGATTTAGTCTTTTGAAGAAAAAAAAACGTAATCTCTATTAATTTTTTTCAATCTATTGACAGCCCTAATAATTATTTTAAAAATATATATATATATATTAAAAGAACAATAGGTCCTCTGCTCCTACTACATCAATGCTCGAGCCCTAATAAACATTAGTCCCACTTCTTTGCTCGGCCATTCTCAATCAAAAATCTGGCCCGTCCTGAAGGACAATTCCAGAATGGGTGAAAGGGAGCAGGGAGGGACTAATATTCAGGGAAATAAATACCATAAATGTCCCACCTAAAGACCACAATTGAAAAATGCCAGTACGTCTCAGTTGTGGATAAAATCAGTAATATTGCAGAGAAAAGTAAATTAACGGTTTAAAAAAAAGGACACTTTGGTTGCTTATGATCTTTGGTTGCTTATGATTGTTCTGTGTTCCGACTGATGAACATCCGACTGATGTTCAATGACTTGAACCAGTGACTTGTAAGGGCCCGAGCACTGACGTAGTTGGAGGGGAGAAACTATTGTTCTTGTAATGTTATGTAAAATAGGTCGGACTTTAGATAAGAAAACACTAGTTAATGACTGAGGTAAGGTTCTTCCAGGCACTGAATAGTGTTTAATGCCGAAAAAAATACCTTGCAACATTCATGACTCGATGGTGGCGCATGGAGTAGAGAGGGTGCTAACGCCTAATTACTCCCCGGGTAAAAATGTAAAAAGCCATGGGTTAAAAATGCAATGTAAGTCGCTTTGGATGAAAGTGTCAGCTAAATGACCTGTAATCCATCCATCCATCGGCAAACCGCTTATCCTGCACACACGGTCGCGGAGGGGCTGGAGTCTATCCCAGCCAAACTTCGGGCGATCGACTGGGTACACGCAGGACTGGTCACCAGCCAAAGCCACGCAGACACGGGGAGAACATGCACACTCCACACAGAAAGGCCCTGACCTGTAATGTAATTCATCAAATTTGGAAAAAAAAGGAATGCAATACCTAAAAAATGAGGGATGTTTCAATACTTTTTCTACAGTCAGAAACAGAACCAAACAACGTTGATAGCTTTACTCACACGTGCATCTGTTTTAGAAGCAAAGATGCAGTATAGTTCAACTAGCCCGTACTGCCGTTTTTAAACTTCATTCACCCATTCATACACTAATGAAAAGAGCAACCATACACAGGGCCATCTGCCCATCAGGAATAACAACATTCACCACACTGTAGTTACCAAAGGACATGCTCTACACCCACCTACAGTCCCCCTGTGATATTTAATACTGTAGTATACTGCATAAGCGCATTGTTTAAACTAACAACAAAGAGGATGAACCTGAATAATAAAAAATAAAAACAAAGCCACGCTCCCGCAATTATAAATGTCAAAAATATCTTGAAGTACCAACTGTACTACCGTACTATTAATTACTCAAATATGTCTTTGACTAAAATAACTAAAAATAGTAACCACTAATTCAGTTTCAGCAACCAAAAAGCTCATGGCTGGTTCTTCTGAAAGTTACTGTAATTCATAGTTGGCCTGCAAGTGCAGTTCACCTGGTTTGTCTGGTCTTTTAGCCTCAAACATTGTGGCTAAAGAAGGACGTAAAGGATGAGAATTTAGTGTAAATGCAAATCAACCAAGCAGATAATTTATTTAGTTTTATTATGGTTTCTATTAATTGTATGGTTGTCCTCGCTGAATTAAAAGTGCAAGGAGGGTGGGTAAAATGACTCATGGCCTGGAAGCACACTTACAAGTGAACCGGTCGGTATCTAATAAACTCTAACTCCAGGATTTTCTTGCGATCAAACTTTTCTTTGGATTATTGTGCCTGAAACTGGTCTGGTATACGGCGCAGAAGTGCCTTCTTCCTGACAAGACTGTGGTGAGCTAGCGTTTTACCACAATCGCCACTCTCGCCACGCTCCCCCCTGCTATTGATTGAATAGCAATTTGAATTTGATTTATAACAACACACAGTGTTGTATGCAGCTAACTGTGTGGTGTTTAATGTATGATTTAATCGCTTATTTTGATGAGCTTTCAGAGGGCTTGTATAGTTTCAGACGCACGTTTCCGTAGATCTGCTCGTTCTCTTTCAAATCCACAATTTACGATTCCATTTTTGTAGGCTCTTACTTCTTTCTATTTTCCCCTTTCACACATAGAAAAACAGGCAGGATATATGCAGGAGAAAGTTCATGTTCCCTGCATCTCTCCTCGCCCTTCCTGGTGGCACTTCAACCGACCGCTTCCCCCGCACTATCAATCAGGCTTGTTACTTTGGAGCTGATAAACACTGAGGCCTTCAAGCTGTCAATGGAATTATTTAAGTATTCCTGTAGCCAACGACGGAGAGTAAACATTTAGGAGATATCCCTGAAGACCCCCACACACAAACACACACACACACACCAGGGACAACCAAGAGAAGAACCCTTGAATATAATAATATATAACCAGGCCATATACCGACTAAGAAACCGGTTGCTTTTAAACAATAATTTGCCCCTTTACCTCCAGCTAAAATAGGTTTCATCAATTGACACAACTGCTTATTTTGTGCGTTATGTTCAATGTGTGTGCCACTATCCAGCGTACCACACGCAAGCTCAGAAGAAAAACACTCACCCATTTCCTGGGTCGCCCCCTGGGTCTTTTCTCTCCGGTCGCCTCAGCTTTCTGTGAAGACATATATTAAGGAGAAACACATGAATCAGTCTTTATCCTGACCTTCACTTCACTTCACTTCAGTTGTTTGAGACTAATTTGTAATTTTTTGGGCTGTACAAAATAATTTGGATTACTTTTTTTTCCCGATAATTCTTATCCAGAGGGGGATTAATGAGCAATAAACCAAAGACATGATAGTACAATCATTCAATAAGCCAGGCTGTACCCATTGTTAGTTAGGGATACCATTACCAACCGTCTGCTGTGAGCAGTAACCATGGCAGCCAAGCAAGAGGCTCATGCACATGGCTGAAGAGAAACATACCATTTCCTCCTGTATGTTCGCTGAAGTGACCAGCTGTTTTGGGGAAATGTATTCAAATTTAACAAAGTATTTGTGAGCTGAGGAGAAGAGTTTCAAATGTATCCACGTCAGAATGCACAAGGTCTGAGCTAGAATTAGGCCATATGTGCGTGTTTACAGAGCATTCCCTTATTGTCAAAGTTTTCCTTTAACAGTAAGGGAAAATATACCCTGTGTTTTCTTTGAGGGGAGAAAATGACCTTTTCTTCTTTAGATTGTGTTTTTGAAGGGGGAGATTAAACCCTACAAACTGTCCGGCGCAGTCAAAGAGCCGACCCCTGCAGTCACCCACAATTAACAAGACCAGAGCGGAGTCAATAATTCACCCGATTTTTCACGGCTCAGGTTAGCAGCGAGTCCGGTGAGTTCTTAGTCAAACTGCTGACATGCGATTACTTTACTAGACAATGACCAGCAAGCATTGCTGGTGGTGTACTGGGCATGTGTGTGGCTTTCTGCAGCTATTTGGCTCAATAAACATCAGCTCCTCTTTCATCCTGACACCAAGCACACGCCACCCAGTCTGGTCACATGGAGGCAGGTGGAGTCAAGCAACTTGTCACCTGCTGGATCCCAGATTCTGTGTGCAAAATTGAGCTTTTCAGTTTCAAGTAAATCTCAATTTGTATCCCTTTAAAGAAAGAACTGTTGTCTTGTCAGTACTGTACTGCAAAGTTTTTTAGGGGCGAAGGGCAGTTCAACTGTCAAACCTTCAGATTCACTGTATCACAGCCTCTAGGTTCAGCACTGGAGAAGCAGTGAGGAAATCTCACCAAAGGAAATCAGTATTCTCCCTCAATGTGTTTTCTGAGTTTTTTAAATAAAAAATAAATGAATCTACGATTATAGCAAATAATCCCATTACCTTATTATTGCTTGAGTGTTTTAGACCTGTTTTAAGAACCAACAGAATGAGGATGTCTTGTGATATGATGTTCTAATGCTCTGCGTAATGCTTGTGTATATCATGACGTATCACATTGCTAGCTACCCAATCTGTGTACTGTAATCCCAGGTCTGGTTGGGATGCAATTTTAATGTGGCAATCGTCTGAGAGACAATACTCTGTTCAATTAATCATCCGTGTATTTTGTATGCCTGAGCAGTACCCCAGAATACCCAGCGTTGGGATGGCCTCACAGTGCATTATTAATAATTTGCCAATTTTCTGATCTGCTATAGCTGTTGTTCAATGTTTAGGCCGAACAAAATACTTACTCAGTAAAAGAAGGATTGTGGTTTGGGCTTGACAAAATACTATGTGAAGCAGTAGGGGCTAGCTAATAAAGGGCGATTGGGCGTCGCTCCACCAGGAGAAATAAATAAAAGAAAACATAATATTATATTATAACAAAATTAACCTGCCCTTTCTGTACGTACCATCTTATTTTTCAGAATGGTGTGAAAAGTGGTCCGTATTTAGTTTAAATAGTCGAGTTGAGGTAGGGAGCACAATTAATTCCCCTCACAAGCTGCCATGATATATATCTGAGATTGCAGAGGTGATTGATGTGGGGAGGAGAATGGAACTTTTGAAATACTATAAGTTAAAAGGTGTGGACCTACCCCTGCACTCTTTTATCTGGAAAGATTGATATCTTCGCTGTTTATCATAACAATCCCAGATGAGACGCGACCGGATTACGGCGAGAGCAGAGTGGTTCACTTTTCAAAGTGCTGGGAATGTTTACATTGGTTGATGGTGGCAAGGGAGCACTAAGGCTGCTGTCATCGTGAGCCTAACACAGTTTCATCTAACTAATGGGTGAAGACATGGGGGACTCGCCCCGACCTCGCTGGGATGAAGAGCGCCCCAGCCTTAAAACATGAGGTGGAGGAAGTTGCTGTCAAATTCTGAAGCTTTTCCCCAGAGTATACTTTTCATCCCAACTTTAATCTTTTTCTCATTTGTCAACTCGTATCTCTCACGCGTGCGGTCAGAGAGTGCTGGTGAGTTATGGCCGTTTTCCATCATCACAGATGCAAAAAACAGGTTCCTGTTGTTTCATATAAGTTTGCAGTTTCAAGTGGGTTTGTGTATTTGGGAAGTTTTGTAAAGGTGTTGAGGGCGACTGTGGGTGAGTGGGGAGCGCGGTCGTCCTCCAATCAGAGGGTTGTCGGTTCGATCCCAGGCTCTGCTAACCTGCATGTTGTTGTGTCCTTGGGCAAGACACTTAACCCAACATTGCTCCTGTAGCTGTGACTACAGTGTGTGGATGTTAGTTACTGATGGGCAGGTGTCACTGTGTATGGTTCTCCTGTCATCAGTGTATGAATGGATGTGAATGATGTCATGTAGTGTTAAAGCGCTACGAGTGGTCAAAGACTAGAAAAGCGCTGTACAAGTACAGGCCATTTACCATTTACTCTGAGGGGAGTAGGTGGGGTTGTGGATTAGTATTTTGATGATAAGAAATGAGGAGACACCTTAAGGATCTTCTTTTCAAAATCCCACCTTGTGGTGCACAGAGGCATTTTGGACAGCTTTTCCAAATTAAAGAAAAAGTGTATTTAATGACACCAATTGTGACACCAGGAGCCACAGAGTGATAATCGGATGTAAGTCGGTGAAGATGAAAAGCATGTGTGTGTCGTTGAGGTGCCCATCACCTTTTGCGCCGCCTTGGAGGGGCCCTTGTTCTTACTTCCTTTGGGCCGGCCCCTCGGTCGCTTGGGGACAGGCTCTCCGCTGGGCTCCTGAAAGGTAAAGGGGGGATGGGACATGTCATGGGTGTCCAGGGACAGGAAACATAAAGCTTTGAACCCCTCCCCATTTGGTCTTTGCTTTATGGTTCAAGAGCAAGAGGGGAAAGGGCTGTGAGCGTGTTTGTCTGTGTGTGTGTGTGTGTGTGTGTGTGTGTGTGTGTGTGTGTGTGTGTGTGTGTGTGTGTGTGGGTGTGTGTGTGTACCAAAGAGGGAATAAATGAGGGAACTATTCTTCAGTATGACGGTTAAAATGTCACACAATCTTTAACCCTCCATAACAACTAGCTGCTTGATGTGTTTCTGAACCTTGAGTCACACTGCAGTCTCCAATGGACTTGATTTCAGTGTGACATTTGGAAGAATAATGTGACTTACAGTGAATCTCATCCACAAACACATTCACAGAAAGTGATTGAAAGAAACACTTCATGCCCTTACTTTTTTTTTTTACTCATGGTGTCAATTAAAGATCATCGGCCAGAGCCAAGACAGTAAACAGACACATTCCAGCTCATATGTATGGAACCTATTCAGCATACATACATTTTACATACATACATAAACCGCAGTCCATTTGTGGAAATACAGTGTTAATGGGGTTCCTTATGAATATAATACTATAGGCTACTAAACAGCAAAAACAAGTTGTGGAGGGTTGCACCCGCTGTAACTATTAAATCCGCTCACTTTAAGACAGAATATATGCAAGAATCTGTAAAACGGACAGCTCAAATGAACCTCAGCAACAGGACCTGAAGTCCCCGCTAAAGTTTTAAACTTTCCTTCCCAAGTAATGTGTCCAAAGGCGGAACAATGAGCACATGGACTACCGTCTGCCTCTCGTTCTTCCGCCTATCCGCGGCCCTCAACGAACAGCAGCGAGACACGAGCTTACTTTTGGGGGCTTCCTCGGTCTCCCCGGCCTCCTCTTCTGGGGCTCCGCCGCCCCCGTGGTGGGTTCTTGGGAGCTTTCCGCGGCCTCGTCCCCTTGTCCGCTCATGGTTCCTGCAGCCGCTGCGCCTCCGTTCCTCCCGGTGAACAGTAAAAAGAAAGAAATCGGAAGCCGACAAATGAGCCGGTGGGCAGCTTGGCAGGATGTTTGGCTCAGTAAGAAAAAGAAAACCGGACGACGGAGCCCGACACGCCGAGTGGCTCCGACTTAAACTCGGCTAGAACGCGCCGCGGGACCGGGGTCGGGAGCCACGCAGCGGCGAGCCTTGACAGCTCGGCACGGATCTTCGGAGAAGTGGGTGCACAACAACTGCATCCACAACCCACTCCAAAAACCAACTGGAGCCACTCAATAAGGATGGGTTTAAAGAAAAAAAGAAAGAATTCACCTCTCCGGTGGGCGGATAACGCGGCTGCGGAGCGGGGGGGTTTGGGGGGGTTGGATGGGTGCCAGAGAAAACTTAGAGGAAGACGGAACTCTGGCGGCGGGCCAGACATGGCGGGCCGCATTTATGAATTAAATTGACATTTTCACACGTTTCAAGGGAATGTGCTGCAGCCCGTTAGAGCACACGTGCAGAGATGCTCCTCGAACAACTTCTTCAACAGTTCATCCTTTAGAAGTTAACTGCACATAAACAACGCCTTCTTTTTAATGTAATAAATGACCCCCACTGTGGTTTGGAGCAACGCAAAACATGTGAAAAAGTAGTGCAATGATCCCTCGTGAAATCTGAACGAATCATTTAATGATGGATAAATGTGGAAATTTAGAATTTTTGCAACGATGAAATTAAAAGTAAGCAATATTGCATTTTAAAACGCTATATGTCATTGTGTATAAAATGTATTCATGAAAAGTACATTTTTATTTCATCTTTTAAATATTTATTCGAGATATCGTCTTATTATATATATAGATATATACACACACATTAATAAAATATATATATATATATACAGTAACATACTGTTTGATTAAAATTGTCCACAAAGCTTACTATTCTGAACACTCATAGATGCACAAATCAACAGTTTTATGCAGAAGGTGGCATTTTTAAAAGTAAAACTGGACCAATGAATTGTTTCAGAAATGTATAGATATTTAGGCTATATGGAGAATACGTATTTTAAATCCTTGAGATTCCAAAGTCTCCTAAAATAGCAAGTACGTCAGGTTAGATTTGGGGGGAAATAATGATCGGTATGCACTTGTAAAATTATTGCCCTTTGGGCAGTCGCAAAAAAAAAGAAAGTGTGTTGCTTTGAAGCACTCCGCCGTGGACGTGGAGTGAGATCAATTACACAAGAACAACAGACACAAAGAATAAAGTGCCTTACGTGGAAGACCTTTCCCACGGTCCTGTGGCCTGCTCTCCAAGCTCTCTCTTTCTCTCTCTGCACAAGCAGCTCAGTGAGAATCAGACTTATTCTGAGCTTTAAACACCAATATCATCAGAAGGCAGGTTATTGTACGCATTTATTTTCCGCAGAACTCCCCCCTCTCCACAGAAACAGTCGGTTTATTGAGAGAATGTGTGGTTAACGCTGAGCTGCTATTCACTTCATTCATAAAAAAAACAGCTCTTAGACCCCCAAAGAAGGGGTTTGTGTGCAGTAGAGGCCCCGCCCCTTCAGACAGAGTGGCGTCAAACCAATACAATCAATGGCTGCACAGATGCAATACGCGGGGCCGCTCTCGTGCACGCGGCTGAGCTGGCCGCGCAGCTCTGTGTAAGCACAGTGAAACCAGGAAATCAATAATGTATTCTTCATTTCGGTGGAGAGCAGTCTTCCTGCTTGTGCATGCGTTCGCCGCGCGTACGCGTGTCTGTGGACGTGTGTGGCCAGGGGAATATTGATTTGAGCAGCTGGAGACGAACTGAGCAGTATCAGTATCAGCTGTTCTGCTTTAATCCAGAACAGTGTGTCCAGTTGCCTGTGCATGAATAATTAAATACATAATTAACATTGGAAATAGGATTTTTTCAATTATTTCTTTTTTGTTTATAGACTTGTTACAAACGTTTCATGATAAAAACAGTTCAATATCTGCATACACTTACAACTACATGTATTGTACATCATTTCTTAATTCTTCACAAGGCTTATGTATTTTGAATGTGTTCGAATAAAATGTTATCCAGGCATTACGGAATGTTTTGGCAGGTGTAGTCTGAACGTTTTTGTTGCCTGAAAATATAGTCTTACTGCATGGTCATTTTGCTCTTAATTTTGAGAATACATAATCTTAAAATGTGTATTAGGATAGAGCAGTATTTGTTTATTATTTTGTTTAAATCAAAAGTGGTGAGTGCCAAACAGGTTGGAAAGTAGTGAGAAACGGAATTGGATTCTTCGTGGGGTATCCTTGGCATTAGGAAATTCTAGAAGAACGCCAAATATACCCTTTCATTTTAGAATAACGTGATCTAATGCCTAGGTCTTCAATAGGGGGTCCGCGACCCCCAGGGGGTCCGCGGAGGTACTGCAGGAGGGTCGCGAAATGTTTGGTTGATAAAACCATTTTTTTGAATTTATATTTTTTTTTTTAATTTTTATAATAATTCTATTTAGAATTTTTTTTCAAGTTGTTATTAATTGTTAGCTCAGTGTTGTATGCAAGATGTATGTTTATAAAATGGGAGTGGCACGGCCACCCTTTACCTTGCACATGTTAAAAATAAAAATGTTAATGAATATATGAACCTGTAGCTTAGTATTTAATGCACAATAACAGGATAGCTATGTTTATACACTCTAAGAAATGTAATTGCCATGTTGTTCACTTTATGTAACTTTGTTATATTAAGATTACTACATTTATTAGGTTTCTAGAGAATAAATAAGAAGGTTTCATTGGAATAACGTAATAGTTTTAGATTTAAAAGCTACAAAACAGAGCCAATTAAAACTAACGTCATCTACTCACTTGCATCTCCCTTTGCGTGCCTGAGACTTGCACTGCGCATGTTTGAGACCTGCTTCTGACATGCGTATTAACCACGAGCTCGTCACGTAACGTTTCAACCGCCAGCACTCGCTCCATGCGCTCAGGGGAGATCCTACTTCATCCTTCTAACAAAAGTTTCTTTGAAAAAATAATGTGGAACTGTACATTGTGTCAACTGACAATAAATGTTTTTATTTTTATTGCACTCCGTAAATTATGATGGAAAACAGTCTTTGAACAGTCTTTTTAAATCACACACACACACACACACACACACACACACACACACACACACACACGAGGCAACGTATGTTAACGTTTAGTTTCTTGCTAATGTGTTTTTAAATTAACAAGCCTCGAAGGTCTAAAACAGCACGCAGAATTTTTAAAGATAATATAAAGTGCATTTTGAAAGAAACACAATTGTCTATTGCGTTTTTCGTAGACAATAAATAACAGGTCTGAGCTAGAAATGAAGCCATGCAGTGTTAATCCTAAATAATTGCAAAAATGCAAATTAGTCTGGTCCTAGTTGAGTTTATACTCCCTATAGCTACAACCTTTGTCGATTGTCATTGGTAAAAAGCTGTGTTTATTTGTGTGGTATCAATTGAGCAGTCACCCATCCATGTACATACTATGCCCATGCTCATTTAAAACATGGAATTCTCTGAAAACTCATCTGATCCGATGTCATGTTGATGTATTACATACTAGAAGTAAAGAAATAGTAGTTTTTACATGTATTTTGTGCCCTGGAAGTGAAATACCATCAAGTAGAGTACTTTTCTCACATCTGTAACCATCTGAAACATTATGAAACAGTAAGTTGTGTGTTTCAGAATTGCACATTTCAAACTAATATATATATACTACTTACAAATACCACAGGAGTAGAAGGCATCAACATTGCAGTTAAAGACTGTCAATAGTGACCATAATGTATCTGAAGACCAACCAGATGATCTTGGAGAAACCGCTTCAAACTTAGATTGTCAGAGTCTGACAAATCAAATGAGAACTTGCAAGAAACAATAAAAAAATTGGCACGTGAAACTAAAAATTATCCCATCTGTTGCAGCTAAATGCAGAGTTCACCCGCATTATCAAAATCCCCCTGCTGTCAACCATTATGGTCCAACTGGATCATTACCGTGTTTTCCGCACTATAAGGCGCACCTAAAAGCATTTAATTTTCTCAAAAAACGACTTTATAGTGCCTTATAATCTGGAGCGCCTTATATATATGGATCAATTGGTTAATCGGTTGATCCATACTAGTTGAACACGGCGCTCAAGGCGCTCTGCCAAACATGCCAAAGCTCGGTCTACGATGGGGAGATGCTGAGCGGCGCTCAAGCGCGTGAGATATGGAGCTCGTTTCAGGGCGCGTCGGAGAAACAAAGCTGTCGTTCTTGCCGAGCACTTCATGAGATTAAAGAGCGAGAGACGGCGCCCTTTTCTTTACAGTAGCTGAACCATCTTAACGGGGAAAATAAGTTATTCTAAAAGCAGCCGAATATTTAAGGCGTGGATGGCGAGGGGGGCAGCGGGAGCGGACGCACCTCGCAGCATCGATCGGACCCTGAAAGCACCGTCTCCACCTTACTGTCAAAAAGAACAACAGCGAGCGCGTAGAAAACTCCTTCGAGCGCGAGCAGAGATTCTCTTCGCGAGCAACGAAGTTCACGTTTCACAAGCGAGCAAATACCTCGCGGAGACAAACTTTTGCTCGCGAGAGACGGACTTTTGCTCGCGGATGATTGATTTTCGTTAAATTCTTAAGGTCATTTAATCAGATTTCAAATTAGGCCGCGGCATTCTTGAGTTTGGGAACCGCTGGTTTAGACGTTGCAATGACAAATGTAGCAGTCACGCATAATCAAATGCAGAAGAAATGCTAGAATAAGCAGTGCTTTTACTGTCCATTCATTGCGGACGACAAACGTAAAACCCATGTTGTGCATGCAAATGTAAATATATTATGCCAGTAATCTACATGGATTTAAAATTAAAATTAACGTGACTACACCAGCTGTTGTAAGCGTAATCCCCGCAAAATTCAAAGTCAAAATGGCGGCAGCGATGCCGGCCCAAACAAACGCTGTTTCCGGACTTCTTTTTCTTCTCTTTTTTCATCGAAAAACAATCAGTATTAATTCATACATGTCAACAATCTGTCAAATTTCCTCATTACAGTAAACCCTGTGAATCACTCTCAACCAGAATGTGCATCCACTCGTATGATAATTAGGGATAAAGATGGTTTGCATTCTGATGCTGGACATACTAGTGTGTTAATGTTGGCAAATAAGAAAAAGATAAGATGCAGGTCCACCCCTCAGCCCCCCTCAACAGACCCTCCCTTGCAACTCAAACCACCAAGAATGCAACAACTTTATAGAGATGTAGCAGGGGAGCACGAGACAAGCAAGGGCAGCTCTCGTTCCCAGGATCCTGCTGACCTGCACCCGAACAGGCCGGCTCCACGCGGACCTGTCTGTCCACAGACATGGCCACCGACTGTGTGG